CGCTTCTGATTCAAACAAAAACTCAACACTCACCAACGGAATTACCATATTTAACGATGAAGATTTGTATTCTTAAACGAGCGTACCTATTTGAAGATCGAAAGGGTCGCGTTAATCAAACCCAACTAGGGAAAACTCACTACAATCAATTTGTTGTTATTGTTTTTTGAATTTATCGGGAACTTTACCCTTTTCTTTGTAGGGTTTTACAAGAACCCTAGTGTCGCATACGAAATGTGGGTTTCCTTTCGCGATAATGAGTTTAACAGTTTCTACCTAAACAAATATGATGAATCCAAACATTATTTTTTTGCTGATATGGGATCTGAACATCTTGAAGTGGGGCATACTTTCTACGAAAGAGAAGAAACAAGATTAAAGAAACATTTTTTGAACTTATTTTTATGTGATTTAACGATGGAGAAGATTGAAACAAAAAAACCGGAAATGTCGTTGGAGAAGACAACCAGAGATGTCGCCGGAGCTTGCGTCCGCCGGAAATGTCGTCGGAGGTGAAACTCAAAACCCCAAAATAGGTTTTACCTGCTATTGCAGGTAATAGCGGTGTGTTTTAAACAAAAAAAAAAACAAGTTCAAGGGTTAAGAGTGCATAAAAAAAATTAAGTGGCCAAATAAATACAAAATGTATAGTTAGTTACCCTTTCAAGTCATTATCCGTAGTAGAGATGCACACAAAAACCGGTTTGGGGCTTTGGATCCGATCCAATCCGGAAATCGGATTTGGTCAAAACTGGTTTTGACCGAACCGGTTCGGATTGAAACCGGTAATCGGATTGGAACCGGATTTGTGTTTCGGACTAGTAATCGGATTGAGCCTCGGATCAGGAACCGGTTTTGAACCAAACCGGATTGAAAACCGGTTTGAAACCGGATTTGGTATATTACCGTTAACGGGCATTTTGGCAAAAAATCGATTTGTTTCATTTTTTTTTCCTAGCCGTTAAAAAACGGATATAAACGGCTATAATTGATTTTTTTTGTCTTTTTTACCCCCTTAACACTTATAAATAGTATGTATTTTGCTAGATTTCAACTTTTTAATATACACACATATTTTTCACATCTTCTAGTTTGTTAACACTTCAAAAAATGAGCTCGAGAGATTCTACCGCCACCGGTGCTCAAGACTCGGATGCAACGGTGGTGAAAATCTTACCAACAGGTCAGAATAAAGAAGTTTGGGAACATTTTGATATGGTGCTATTGTCGAACGGGAATCAAAAAGTTCGATGCAAGAAGTGTGGGTTGTTAATGGGTAAAGATGGCAATAGTACGTTGAGGAGTCATGCAACTAAAACTTGTCCGGTTGTAAAAGGTCAAGGCGAACCGAGTCAACCTAATATTACTACCGATGGGGCGATATTTATTTACAACAATGAAGACGTTCGTGAAAGTTTTTGTAAGTTCGTGATTCAAGAGGGATTGTCTTTCAACCACTTCGACAACCCACGATTGACACGGATTTTACGGGAAAAAATGCAACCTCAATACCGGCAAGTAAGTCGCTCTACTCTTAGACGTGATGCTAAAAAGTATTGGGGTATAGCCAAAAAAGATATGCAATTGGGATTCTTAAATTTAAAAACCGGTGTTTCTTTAACTTGTGATGTTTGGTCCTCCACCGAAAGTGTTTCCAAAAGCTAGCTTGTCGTCACGACACATTGGATAGACCTCTCTACTTGGGTAATGAACAAACGAGTTATTGCTTTTGAACTTTTTGTGTATCCTCACACGAGGGCACGGTTATTTGCAATTTTAGTAAGTGTTATAGAGACTTATAATTTGGGCGACAAAATCTTTTGTATTTCGTTTGACAATGCAAGTAACAATACCGCCGCCGCAAAAAGATTAATTGCAAAATATAGACCTATTTTGGATGGCTACTCAATGTGTTTGTCACATTATTAATTTAACGGTACAAGATGATTTAAAAATGATAGATTCTACGATTGAAAAATTCAAAAATGTGTTAACTAGAGTTTTTGGAAAAAATAAAGCTGCAATGGAAGTATATCGAAAGTTTGTCGTTTCCATTAACGTAACTTCATATAGTCTTCATTGGGATGTTGACACTAGATGGAGTTCGACGTGCATGATGTTTGAAAGTTTGACACGTCAAAGAATCACTTTGCGATTATTTTACGACACAATTTCAAAAGGAAAAAACCCGGTTTCGGATTTTGATTAGGATTTGATGGAAGAGTTTGTGGAAATGTTAAAAGTTTTTAAACAATCAACCATTTTTTTATCCGGCGTGTATTATCCTACAAGTCCGTTGTTACTAAATGAGTTATGGTTGATATCCGCACAATTGGAGCGTTTTGAACAAAGAAGTGAAATATTTGTTTTGGTTACGAAACCAATGAGAGAAATTAGTCAAATATTTCAAAGATATGACACCACTTTTTACTTGCGTCGCGACATTAAAATCATGTATCAATGTTACGGGTGTAGAGGTTTTGATTACCAAAATTTTCATCTCTTTAAATTTGCACAAAGATGACTCAAACTACATCCGTAACAAATACACAATTTTAATAATACTTTTACTAATTTGTTTGACATTTACGCTACAAAATATTGCAATATGCCAAACACTTTTGCAAGTGTACCCGTCTTTACTAGTGGTGCATCGGGTAGTAGTGAGGGTCAAACGGATTTTCATATCGACCTTTATAACTACATTTTGGAGGAACAAAACAAACGAGCACACACATTAACCCCTAAGCGAACTTGAAATTTATATGGGGTCAAACTTTTTAAAATTCATGAGTGCACTACAATTTAAAATTTTGGATCTTTTGGCTTGGTGGAAAGAAAAGGAAGCACAATTTCATATTCTCTCCGTCATGGTCCGCGATTTACTAACCGTCCAAGCTTCCACGATAGCTTCGAAATCCGCTTTTTCTTTTAGTGGTAGAGTTTTATCAAAGTTGATGACGAATCTTACCCCGGTTGCGGTAGAGGTTTGCGTTTGTTTGAAGGATTATTTGGATTCGGTGGAACGTATACAACACTTGGCATAACTAGAAGGCCCACTAGCACAAAATGTTGAACCGGGGATAATGGAAGAAGAATATGAACAAGGCTTATCAACACCTCCGGAAGTAAACGAAGACGATGACGATGAAGACGAAGACGAAGAATATGGTATTGATGATACCCCTATCCATTTGCGTGGCGGTTGAAGAACATTTTAGTGAAGGCGACTCGAAGTGGAAGACCACAAAAACTCTTTTTATTTGGAAAATGTTATAACGCCATTTTATTATTATTATTATTATTAGTTAACTAATTTCTAAACTCTTTCTATTTCGACGTTTGATGTATGTTTTAACTATTTTAATGAACCTATGTTGCATTTTGTGTTATATATGAGGTCCTAAAAATGTTTTTTTTTAAATTGTAAATTTCGGATCGGATCCAAACCGGATCGGATTAAACCAATTCGGATTCGCGGATGGGAAAACCAGTTTGAAACCGGATCGGATTTTTGATGAAATCGGTTTTTGTTTGACGTCATCAAACCATATCAGATTCGGATCGGTTGTTTGTGCATCTCTAATCCCTAGGAGTAACTCTCTATTTGATCAACAATAATTGATAATTCCGATGAAGATGATGTCATATTGATCACTACCCGTTGCCCTTATAGATTATTCCAGTAAAATCATGATGTTTCATAGGAGGGATTAAAATTTAGAAGGGAAGGAGACCATTCCATGTCACCTAATATACATTTCTCCCCAAACCATACAAATTAAGTCCCTCTTGTAACGACAAATATCATATCTATCATACTACATATAACAAAGTCCAAGGACATGTTAGGTTATTATGAAAAATGTTATGATACAAAATATACAAAATATAATTGTACCAGTCATTTAATACAAGAATAATCTAAAGACCACGTTGAATGGTTAAACAAACTGAAAATAGATATCCAACAAATATTAACGTATCCTCACAATCAGAAACAATTCACAAAAAATTGTTAATTTTTATAACATTAGTTACAATTTTTTTGGCACTAAAAGTATGTAGAAACAAAAGGTTCAAGTTTCAACAGTCGCATTATAAGACTCTAATTTCAGCTATACCTAGAAGGCTATAGTTAGGGGTGTCATAAAAAACCAAAAGCGAATAACCAAACCGAACCAAATGATGTTTGGTTTATTTGGTTCGGGTTATTTGGTTTTCGGTTAATTTGGTTTGGTTAACTGAATAAGGATACCTTATTCGGTTTGGTTTTTTGTTAAATTTTCATTGTTTTGATTAAACCGAATAATATATATATATATATATATATATATATATATATATATATATATATATATATATATATATATTGATTAGTTACTAAGGTTTCCATGACCTTTTTTAGTTATTAACCATTATAAAGTTATAGTTGTTCTATATTTTGTATTAAAAAGCAAAAACAAATTAACCAAATAATCTTTAGTCGTACAATTAAAATTATATTGACCTATTTCGAAAACTTGAATATAATATTTTATATATTAATGTAGTTTCTTTGTTTGGTAATATTTTGGTAAGTCCAAGTTTAATATTTATTTTTACGTGCTGAATTTTATTCGGTTTAACTGTTAAACCGAACCGAATAAACCATAACCGAATAAACCGTAACCGATTAAACCGAACCTTATTTGGTTTGGTTATGGTTAGATTTAAAATGTAAAAAAACCGATAAAACCGAACCGTTTTAACCGAAAACCGAAAAACCAAACCGAATAACACCCCTAGCTATAGTGTATCATCTAATTCACATATCTCACACAATGTTCTTGGAACATGACAGTCAAAGAACAGAACTACAAAACTTCTAAACGGTTACACAAAAGAATTATTTATTTTTTTCGAAACAAGGTTTGCTAGAAAGGATAATTCTTATTTTGTAGAAACAAAAAACAACATAGAACATATATTTAATATTTAATGTACACAAAAGGTTTGTACAACAAACAGCAAACATAAGTATTTCGATTCAGTTTTCAAGTACCAAAAGTGAGAAACCATTTTCTTCAATCAAACCTCTCTCTATATATATATTATATGTCTCTGTCTCACTATCATCAAGAATTCAAGATGCAGTCCTCCATTGAAGCTCAATTTGGATCTTCCCATTCCTTGAATCAATAAGATGATACTTTTCATTGATCCTTTTATTATTCACAACATCCACAAGACTTATATCAATGTAACCCAACGATTCCTGTTTTCAAACAAGAAAAACAATCAATCCAACAGCTTAGAAGCTAAAATAGTCAACTTTTGACCACAAAAAGTCAAACTACCTTAGGATGTAGTAACCCAATCCTTGATGAAGCACTAGCAACTTCCACATGCAATTTATCATTCAAAGGAGGCTCTTCTAGTGTGAATGTGAACTCCTCATTCCATCTTGGATCCCGATTCTTCTTCACATGCTGCATCAAAAAAGAACAATTAATCAATCAATGAGAGAGACTAAATGACCATTTTAGCCTTGCAATGATACCTTGGTTTTTTTCTCCTCTCCTTTGAAAAGGACACGGACATAAGGATTAGTGTGGTGTTTTCCTTCAACATCTTGAGCTTCATGAACCCTAACAACAAGTACACCACCTCCAGCTGGTGTTCCTTCAGGTGCCTTTTGAACAGCACCTGCATCTTCAAATGCAGGCATATCTTCATCCTTAAAAGGTTTATATAACAATTCTACAACAATTTGGCCTCTTGATTTTTCATTTTGGGCATCATTTGAATCCATGTTTTTTAGGAGATCAAGTGTTACAACTTTTGGCTCATCGGGTACAATTTCCTTCAAGGGCACCACATTCATCCCCATCTTGTCATGTTTGCCAACCTAAAAATAGGACAACCAAAGTAGAATTTTCAAAATACAATGTCTTAATAAGGAAAAAGTTAGAAGGAAAATAAACATGTAAAATTTTAAATCCAAAGTAAAAGCCAAAATGGATTAAAACAAATGAGCAAAAAACTAGTACCTGTTCCCAATCATAAACTTGGAACTCTACAGCTTGAGATTCTGGATCTTTAACAACCATGTTGAACTCCTCATTCCATTCGGGATTCAAATTCTTATGTTTCACAGTTGTCTTCTTTGATGGAAGCTTACTTTCTGTGAGCTTTATTTTCACATAAGGATCAGAAGCACCCAAAAGATCTTTCTTTTTCAACTTCATTGCCCTCAAAACCTTCACATGAAGTATTCCTACAGGCTTCTTTAAGGCCCTGCAGATTGTCAAGAATCAGTCAAACATTGACTTTCACAAAGATATGTTCGGTTGCCATTAATTAATAATTGCAAACAAGAAACAGAGATTGATTTTACTTGGATGGATCCAATATTTGTACTTCTAGAGTTCTAGGCCAAAGATACATGTTGCCAACTTGATCTTTGATTTGTTCCTGCACATAATAATATGTAATCAATAAATTGAAATGAAACCAACTTAACTACCCATGATTGTTCATTAAATATCATATTCAGAAAAGAAAATGAAACCATTATAATTTACCTGAACAAACCTATACAATCCAGGAATTGACATAAGGTCAGCTCCAAATAGCTTCAGCCCAAAATCAACATGTGGCTGCAAAATGGAAGGAGGACAAAAATGTAAAAAACAATATTGAAAATAACCCATCTTTTTTTATTAGAGAAAGTGAACTTAAAGGTCAGAAAGAAATGCTCAATTTCAAAAATGAAACATTCTTTTAGTTTGTTACAAAATTTTAGCCTCATCCCCAAACTTAGGGCTTGTTTCTTTCTTTTTAGTGTTTGTCTGGAACTCTGGATACTAGGGGAAATGGGAGTAAAAAAGTAAATGAGGGTAAATTTGTAAGAAGTTGAGAAAATGAATTTAAGGGGTTGTGTCTTTCTGACTTAATAGGATTAATGGTTAAGCACTTAATATGCACAGCTATACATGATTGTTTCTTTTTTACTTAATCTGGACATAATGGCTTAATGGGTTAAACCAAAAAAACCTGGCTTAATATATACATAGACACTATTTGTTACATGTTTACCATTTTATCCACAACCCTTCCCCTTATGGATTCAGACTTAAAATTGAACGAAATTTATGTAACAAATATAATTATAAAAATAGAAAAATGTGGCTGATAAATTATTTTATTGAACACGTGAAAATCAATGACCATTTTGACCATCATTTCATAAATAGATGACATTAGTTTAGATCCATATTATTATTTTTTTTACGTTTATTGAAATAAATGTCTAGACATCTACACCTTTGTTTTATTGAGAAAATATATTTTTAAATAAAAACTACTTATAAATCCAATACTTTAACATGTAATAATACTAAAAAGTTTACATTTTTATTAGGTTGAGATTTGTGGAATTCATTTAGATTTATTATTATGTATGTGTTTAGGTAGGTCTAAATTTTCAATTTTATTAGGTTCATATTTGTTAAATTAGTTTATATGTTTGATAACCTTTTTTGTTAGGTTTACCGTTTACATTTTAAATTTAAATAAGTACAGATTTGTTTAGTAATTGGTATAAACTGTGAAATTGATTTGATTTGTTTGATAAATTTATCATTTCTATATACAAGGGTAGAAACCGTCTTTACAAATTACAACACATTACTCATTCAGTCACTTTATCCATACAGGACTTAATGGGAAAAAAAATGAAACACTTTTGAGTCCCAAAATTGATCAATTTGACTTAAAATTAAAAAATTAAATATAACAAAAAGAACCCGATTTACCTTCTCCATGAGAGACACACATATTTTAGCAAAGCAGGGAAAGCTAGGAACAAGTGGTTTTAGAGTGATACGAGGTGCAGCAAAGACTTGTAAATCCACCACCTGAAATTATTACTTTATTTATATATTAAAAAAAAAAAAAAAAACAACAAATATAATTTTAAAGAAAAAAAACTCCTTAAAAATAGGAGATTTATATATATTATATATAACCTGAACAGTTGCTTTCAAACCATATGCTTTAGCAGCCACAGTAACATTAGGGTTTCCAGCCCATTTTAGAACTGGTTCCATTATCAACTCCTTCTCATCAGTAACATACACTTTCATCCCTGAAAAAAATATATTAAATGTTTTAACCGTTAGTCAAATGTCTAAAATGCCCCTTGACAGGTGACCATAAGCACATCACCTTGAAATGTAGGAGGCAAAGAGCCTAATGTAAGAGTCTCAAATTCAACCGAATCAATTTTATACTTTGGAATTTGTTCTGCGATAATGGGTTTTGCAATTTCCTTTGCAGTCTTGCATATTGCCTATGAATATAGAAAGATTAATAAGTTCTTCGAATTTGAAGAAATTTTGTAAAATTTAGTGAAATTAGGGTTTTTGAAAATCTGAAATACCTTGTCAAGATAAGGCCACATATATTCGATGAACTTGTTAAGCCAATCAACCTACATTGATTCAAAAAACATCATAACATAGTAGTAAAATCTAACTCATCGATTCAAATGTAGATTGATCTTCAGAAGTCAAAATACATACCCGGTCAAAATCCGGGTTTTTTACCCACGCCGGTATTTCAGGAAGCATACTTTGTAGAGTTTCAGAGTCTCGTTCGACCAAAGGTCGAATAATTGGATCCTGCCCACATCAATATTTGATACCAAAATTTAATCAAAACCCCCAAATCATACTCGTTGAGCTGAATCCGGAAAGGGGCTAAAAAGTCAACTTTTATCGTACAGAAATTGGTGCATACAATCTATTGATACTGATCTAAGCTTTAGCTTAACTACTAAGCATTGAAAGCTTATTGAAAATCATTAAAAGTTTTTCTAATCGGTGAACTGAAAATCGAGAACTAATCAAATCTATGCGACACAAACAAGATCAATGCGAAATAAGATGCAAAATCTAGTCGATACACACACACGCATACATAGGGGAAGAGAGATAGAAGCAGACCTTGACATCTGTGGGTTGAAAGTAGATGAAGAGATAATAACCGATCACAATCCCAGCAGAAACGCCGATTCCAAAGCCGGAAAACCCCAAAAAAGTACTAATTACACCCATCTCTCAACTCTTCAATTCTTCTGTTTTTCACTTGGAAACTTGGATATAAATCAAACCCACATCAGAGTGAATAAAAGAAATTGCTTCCTCTTCAAGTTCTTCAAGAATCTACAAATCTTAAGAGCTTTACAGAAAAACCCCAACTCACGCAGCTCTTGTGCGTTCACCTCGCCGGCTTAAAGTAAGGGTGAATATTTCGGACATTAAAGAAGGAATTGAAGGATACGATTGTCATTAATAGAAACAAAGGCCCATCTGTCCGCTATTTGTCAAAGAACGGACGAGTCGAGTATTGACGTGCCTACCAAAGTCCTTTTCAAAATGCTTGAGATTTGTACAAAGGAAAGATTTATCTCCAAAAATAAAAAGAAATAATTTACAAAAATAGTCCCTTGAGTATGCGTTGGTATGCAAGTTCAGTCCTCTGGCTGAAGATCTACATTAATGCTTCCGAACCACACGCATAATTATTAATTATAGGATGTCTACGTTTGATTTAAACTAGTGATGGCGATTGCATGACATTAACTTGCAACTTGAGAAAGTACTATAATTGGAAGAGACTAATCATTTGTCATTAATATACAGAGAAATATGGATAATCTTATTTTTTTTATTTTGGTATAACTTGTCTCTGAAAATCTAATTATCTTGACTTCTAAAAATCAATCATAACCAATTTTTCTCATGTGCTCAAAATAGATCATTGTGGATTTGAGTCATTGTAATCACTTTGTATAGTGGTGAGCATTTGGACCGTACCGGACCAGACCGGACCAACGCTTGGACCGGACCGGTTATGGAGAATATTGTGGACCATGGACCGGACCGGATGAGTCGTGTCCGTGTCCGGGTCCGGGTCCAGGTCCGGGTTTTCCGGTTCTTGTACCCGTTTGGACCGGTACAACTTTAATTGCATAGAATACAAGTCGTTAAAATAAGTTTTTAGGTTTGATACGATACAACTTGTAAAAATGATTATGTTTCTGTTTCATGCATAACTAATCTACCTTGATGTTATAATATTATAAGTTGCAAAATTAATTTTCCAAATAAAATCAACTAACATATAAATCAAGTTCACCAAGATCCCTTTCATATGATTTATCTATCAAAGATACATAAAATTCAGAATTATAGTATAAAATGATAGTTAAAAAGTTGAAATATTTCAGCTTTGATAGCTCAACTTTGAAGGATTGTAACTCACTGAATATAATACCAAAATCAACAAAATTATAGTCTAAATTTATCTATAAACTGTACACTAAATGTTGGAAAAAACCTCAGGTGAATCCGACTTAAAACGAATGAGTTATGGTTGTTTAAAAAATTTCACAGATTACAAAATTTTAAAAAACTTGCTGAAAAGCTGAAAATTTTCAGTTTTGATAGCTCAACTTTGAAAGACTGTAACTCATTGAATATAATACCAAAATCAACAAAATTATAGTCTAAACTCATCTACAAACTGTAAATTAAACGTTGGAAAAAACCGCGTGTCAATCCGACTTAAAATGAATGAGTTATGGTTGTTTAAAAAATTTCACAGATTACAAAATTTTAAAAATGTTGCTGAAAAACTGAAATTTTTTCAGCTTTGATAGCTCAACTTTGAAAGTATGTAACTCATTGAATACTATACCAAAATCAACAAAACTATAGTCTAAATTCATCTACAAACTGTAAGTTAAACGTTGGAAAAAACCGCGTGTCAATCCGATTTAAAACGAATGAGTTATGGTTGTTTAAAAATTTTCACAAATTACAAATTTTTTTTAAATCGGGTCCAACCGGTTCTAAACCCGGTAAAAACCGGACCGGACCGGGATGGATTCCTAGAACCGAGAACCGGCCCGGGGGTCCAAAAAACGGTCCGGTCCGGTCCGGTTCACCGGTCTGGTCCGGTCCACCGGTCCAAATGCTCACCCCTAACTTTGTACATATATCCTCACATCATTTGTGTGTGATTTTCTCTAAGAATATTAAGGCTCCTTGACTTATGATGGTCTTGGTGGTTCTTCTTTAGGTCCAGGCTATTCGGTTGGTTATCTTGTTGAATTTAAGAAACTCTTATTGAGCATTGTGTCAATTGCCAACCATCATAATTCGTAATGATACCGACATTATGCGAGGAGGGTACTCTTTAGGGCTCGAGAGATGGAATAGACAGTGGCCCATAAGTTTTGAATTTACCCTTGGACTGAGTTGGATAAGTATTCTAAAAAATAACATTTGCCTAAAGATGTGTACCTTAATTTCCTAGGTTGGCGGAAAGCAAACATGTGAACTACCTACCCAGAACTACAAAGAATAGCTAAAGATAATTTGCATTTCCTAATGCTACTGTGATAGTAGAATTTGCATTCATCGTCGATGGAATGTTGATATGCCCCATCATAGTTGACTTCACGCAAAGATATTGGAGGCTTTGATATATGCTCAAATTTGGCTTATGAATGAAATATGATGTAACGGAACATTTAATTTAAGTTATTAAAATCCCTTTTAGCTTGTGGATTTAAGAATTTATTGATATTTTTGTATTGTTTTATTCACAAAAAAACTTGGTATGATGAGTCTAAGTAATATTGTCGCATTGTTGAGTATAATTATTGTAACATTTGCATTTCCAGGTATTTTCCTTTTAGCCCTTAACCTTAAAAACTTGGCATTTTGGTCCCTGGCCGAGTACGTTGGGTGTACGCTAGGAGTACGTCGGGCGTACAAGGCCGAATCTTGATCGCGGAGGAAACTCACGTACGTTGGGCATACGTGGAGTACACAGGGCGTATGGTCAGCAGGGGAAAACCTTAATTTTTAGGGTTTGTGTCCTATTTAAACACCTTAAGTTGCCTTTGGAGCTTCTTATGACCAACCTCCACTTCTCCAAACCCTAAGAACGAAACCATACTTGTCATTTGAGTGTTTTGAGCTTAGAAGTGAACTTTGAAGGTGTTTTTGGTGCTTTTGAAGGAAGAACTCTTGGAAGTTGAATTGGTGTGGCTAGAGCTTGTGGATGCAGAATCATCACCAACTTGGGAAGCTTTTGGAGGTATAAAGCTCTTAACTTGATGGTTCTTTTGATAGATTCAGTTAGGGCTTGTTTTTATGCTTTTTATGGTCCTTTAATCCATGCTTGAGAGTATGAGCTACTCCATAAGCTAGGGATGGTAGATCTTAGCATTTTTGAGGTCCCTTATTCATAAAAATGCAATCTTGGTGTGTTATATTGGACCATGCATGAGTTAGGGCTCTTATCATGGGTCTTTATGGTAAAAAATGAGTACTGAGTCCCATTAAGTCATGCAAAGCTGCAAAGTTGCCAACTTTATGTGTTAAGACCTTACTTAGTTATAGACTTGAAGTTTGGACGAAAAGGTCTTAAGGGATTAAGACCTTAAGTTGGATTTTGGGACTATAGCCAGTACGTCGGGCGTACTCCGTAGTACGTTGTGCGTACTGGGTCAGTAGGCCGTTTTTGGGTCAACGCGCATACGCGGTGCGTACGAAGAGTACGCAGGGCGTACGCTGTGAATGGGTTTCTTTTGTTTTGGGCCTTCTTTTGGACTTGCCTTTGGACTTTGGGCCTTAGTTGGATTTTTGGGCTTTATATCTGTTGGGTCATATTTGGACCTTAGGTTTATGGGTTGGGCAATTATTGGCTCTTGGACCACTATAAGGTTATTGGTCCCAGCTAGTTGGGCCCAGTAGGGAAAATGTAGAATAGTCTTTTACCCTAGAGGCTGAGGGTGTTGGATCAGGGACCCCGGTTATGAATTTTTGACCTAATTATTAATTAGGGTATTGTTTGATGATATTTAGTGAGGAGATTTTCCTGATCAGCAGTCCGGGCATTTACCTGATTTTTCAACAATTTGAGGTGAGTAACCTTCCAGTGTTTGGCGGGTCGAAGGCACCAATGTCGACCCATGTATTATGGTTATCTGTATGTTAGTTGTTTGTGTGACCTTTCATGTGTGTATGTGTTGTATGTATGTCAGGCGGGGCCTGATAGGTGTGCTGTTCGGGGCCCCATCACAAGATACATACAGATCTGTTCCGAGCGAGGATCGATACCGGGCGGGGTCCGATGGATTGTCGGGCATTGCCCATTGTATTTTTGATATGTGTGGTATGGGGTATTTTGAGGAACTCACTAAGCTTCGTGCGTACGGTTTTTAGTTTATGTTTCAGGTACTTCTGGTTCGAAGGGGAAGAGGTCGGGGTGATCGCATCGCACACACCATGTTCAACCGTATTTTTGGTTGACTTGATGTATTTTGATGATTGTTGACATACTCTCATTTCACTATGGTTTTACATGAAATACTTGTTTGATGGTCATTTAATTAAATAAAAATGAAATTTTTAGCTCTAATTTTTGGGACGTTACAATTATGATTTGAAAGATTTAAATAAACTTTATAACATTACCAACTTATTATGTTTTTTTTAGTATGGAATATGTTTCTTTAGTACTATGGTTTTAGTTTGTTGATGATGTTGAGATATTTGGTATTAATCATGTAAGTATATTTGTTGGTTTGATGGTGTTTGAGATATTCAGTATTTATTGTGTAAGTTTAATCACTGGTTTGATGCCTTGAGGACTTTCGAGACTTTTAATATTTGTTGTGTAAGTACAACTGTGTTAGTAGTTAGTTAGATGTTGTTTGAGATTTGTTTATCTTTCTATAGTTTTTATCTTTTTATTTGTCTTAAGATATTAATTTACAAAAAATAATTTTTTATAATTTGAGTCGTTTTGGGAAATACCATCGGGGATACGTGAATACATACTAGAAATAATGATTCTTACCTTTATCGAGTTTTCGAATGGGGATCAGGGAAATCACAATCTCTGATAGAGATCATCAACGATGATGATGGTTCGGGGGTAAAATGCTTATTGATTTGGAGAACGAGATACTAAAAATCGACATGGACTCAACCGTTGTCATTCATATTACTTTCCAAAATCAACGATCAACAAAAACTATACATGAAAAAATTCTTATCTAATTTGTCCAATAAACTTTTTGTTGTCGTAGGTTAAAATTTTAAAAAAAAATTATAAACCATTTGCAAGAGACATCCCGTTTTCGGAAATGAAGTTGTATTGGAAACATGTGTCGTCGTCGTAGGTTTCACCTCGATATGCATCATTTATTGTAGTGAGGCTACAGCGACGACATGTCGTCGTCATAGGCCTCCCTAAAAAACGATTCCTTTATTTATAAGTATGATTATAAATATGTAACGATAAATTCAAAAGTAAATTTTAGCATCATCGACTTAGTGTCGTCGCCAGATCCTTTGTTACCG